TATTTCGACTATGGCGCCCGATCCTCCCTGTCCTCGTAGAACACCAACTTGATTTTCTCCACCGCGTCGCTTTCCATTCTGTCGTAACTGCTCCTATTCCCACCGGCGTCGCTCTCGATCTCGATCCCGACCTTCGATGATCCTCTATTTCCTTCTCTGCCGCCACTGCTACAGTAGGCAACTAGGAACAACGCGATTACAAGGGATCTAACACCGATCCCGACAATTATCAGAGCCATCCCGACGATGCTCAATGCCAGGATATGAGCTCCGATAGCCAACGTCCTCTCGATTTATCGTCGGCGACACAAAAGCTAGGGAGAATGAGAAACCAGATCTGGCAAGCAGAGCGTGCAAGCAAGAATATGGGAAAGATATTTTAATTTTGTTAGTTTTTTTGTTGTTTTACGTTTTTACCCTTAATGAAAACTGATGTTACAATAACAACACATGAGGTGTTGTTATAGTATCCGCTCCCTCCACGCTTATAAAAATTTTGTCCTAGAAATTTGATCGGGCTCATCCTTCCATACTCCTCATCCTCGTGCTTCTTTGGCTCAAGCTTTCACTCTTGCTATATGAACTTCAATGATGTGCCCTTACCTTGTCTTGAATATCTTATTATAATTATTATATGTAATCTTGACCATAACAGGTATTCTCATCTATCTCGGTAGCATCGAATAGGTTTGAGTGAATCATTGACCTTTTCAAAATTTTCCAACTTGGGCCCAAGGTGTGATGGGACAAAATTTCGGCTTAATTTATTTGGTCCAACTGATTCCGTACTTGATGTTGAACCTAAATCGAAGTCGCGGTATCACATTTCCTCCCCACTTATAGAAATTTCGCCCTCAAAATTTGTCCATTGTGATTACCCTAGGCATCGTATGTGGTAATCCTTTTCACTTCAAGGATTTGTATTTCCTTTAACTTATACAACATGACCTAAAATCCTTCTCTGCATTCCCTGCAACTTCAATGTTGTTGTGGCTTCTTAATCTCTCACATTACCTAAGCTGCACCTCTTGTACATATATCGGAACAATAACTATCCATTATTCGGTACGTGAGAAGTTAATGCCCCTCTCCAACGCCAAGGTTACTGATGGCGGCTTATCCTCCATCTAGTCAGATGGTAAAACACTTTTAACGTAACTCTCGTATGGGGTTGACCTCATAGGTCACCTAGGACCTTGTATCTCCTAACTTTGCATCCCTTACTTTCTTCTTTGATGCCTCATCTTATACTTTCACCATAAACTAAGTGGTCATCACCTCGTTACTTCTTGGTTAACTCCAAAACCTCATAGTACTGCTTTTACTTTCTGTTTGCATTAAAACTAATCCTTTGCATCTTTCTCTTGCTTGCTAGAAAGTTTATGACTCCCTTCAAGAGTCGTGACATTCCCTTTGGCTTACTTGTTCACTTCTGGCGCCTAACTTAGCACTTCCTTATCGCTGCTTGAATTTTATGTCCTCGAACTATCCATTCTACCACTCTTATACCCTAGTTGAAATTCCTCGTCAGGTTTCCTCATCCAATAAATTTTTCCCAGAGAGATTGACACCTTTCAACCTCATGGGCAATCTTGGCTTCACTTTGGGGTACCCAATCAGATTCCCTAAACTCATATCCCTCTTACTTTGTTACTCGTGACTCTTCTTCTTGATGTTCCTTTCTAGGTTTAAATGTCCCTTGTTCGCGACGTAGTCCTCCAGGGTCTTATATCCTCTTCTCACTTATGTACTTTGGCCTACAAGGTTTTCCCTTCCACTTTTCTTGACGACCTTGATTCCACCTTAAAACTGGCCAAAATTTCTTGATGGACTTCCTATGGATCACTTATTCTCCGTTGGTAGTCAACCTAATGCTTCCTGGTAGTTTTCTGTATTCCTGCTCTGACATTTCCTAACTATTTTCCTCCACGCACACTCCTTGAACTCGAGTCACTTACACATATTCCCACTCCTTTATCAAGAACTTCCATGTCCTTCCTTGACTTCAAACTCTCTACGACATGACTAATGCCACTTCATAGTTATGGCCTTAGAGACGACTTACCGAAGTCAGTACTACTTTAAGATTGCTTACCAATTGACTAATTGACTTCTACACCAATTGACTTCTTGAAATCTAGTCAAACTTTCTCTGTCCGTCTTGCATTTTCCTTGTATTGCACGCAACTTTTCTTTATCACGACCGTTGGGAATCCTCCTCGAATTCTCAAAAATTTATTAAAACTTCCAATGAACGTTCTACTTGTTTGTCTATACTCGGTTGGTTGAATGACTTACTCCTATAGCTAGTTCCGAGACTCTAGCTCTTAGGCTGCTAGTTCCAACTTACGAATAGAGGTTCCTTCTTCTGGCACCCCTCATGTACCCTAGGCGGCTAGGTGCTCCCTACTTCAGGATAGGACAATCCCAAAACAGGTCATCACGAACTCTGCATTCCCCTTTCAACTATCCCAACGACCTCCTGACCTTTCATGATTTTGGTAGTTTGTAGGGTCTCTAATATCCTCTTTCTAGCTCCGTGTTGACTTAGTATTCAACTCAGGCATTGCTGCGAATTGGTTCTCTATTCGCAGTGCCATTTACTAGCTAACTGTTATTCCCTCTCACATTCCATATATTTTCTTACTTATTGACTCCCCGTTGTCTTCTACATGGCATGCTTTAGACTTTGGTCGCACTTTCCTCCACGTCTCGTCCAATGGTGGTCGTACTAAAACCATAACTTGTGTTCTACATCATTTATCCCGTTGCTTGTCTTGTTCCTTCTAAAGAGTTTTCATCAGCCTAACTTCCCAGGGTTATGTACCTTCTTCTATAGTGACATAGTTTATCTATAAGGGTTCCTTCATCGGCATATGTAAATGACCATGCCTCATCTTTGCCTTGACTTATTGACTTCTTGGCGTCCTTTCATACTCCTTATACCTACTTATTTCTTCCTTCGCTTCCTTTATACCACCCTAGCATTTCTTAAAGTCTAAACATTCCTCTGCTCCTTGTCACTGTGTTGTAATGGCGTTGAGCCATCGACCACAAAAACTAGCTGAGGGACTTCTCGGGGTACCTCTTCGTTTCTTGACTCACCACTGCTTAGGGTCAAGGACCCTGAAATTCTCTCATCATTATAGCTACTAACATCTAGTGATTGTAGCTCTTTCTTCGGAGATTCATAGTTCTCCTATTTGTTTATCTTAACCTATTAGATCGTTTGCTAGTGGCTAAGTAGAAAATTCCTCGTAGTGCTCCTTCAACTCCTTCGAATCCTCGTACTTATATCTCAGATATCCCTCCGCGATTTGCACACTTTTTATTAGGAGAAAAGTTATTTATCTTAATACGATTAGAGTAGACTGGAGATTCCATAGACACTTAAAAGGAGACCCTTCACTCATTTTCCTTTCCTTTAAAACAAAACCTTTAAAAACCGAGACCGACATTCCAGTATTCCTTGGAAACCAAGAAATAGAGGAAGACCGGCTCTGATACCAAAATGTAACACCCTAACCCGGCCGGGTACTACTTTTACTAAAATGCCCTTGACAAATAAAGTACTCAAATCTTAAATTGCAGCGGGAAAAATTTTCATAAATAAAATACTGAAAACACACTTGTAGTTCAAAGCAACGCCCTAACACGTGGGCAACTTAACTCAAACTTTAAAAACTCAACTTGATCTCCAGTCTATACTCATAATCATAAAACATAATAACTAACTAGTCTGAAGTGTTGCTGCTTGTGTTAAAAACTCTGACTAGACATCCTCTGTGACGCTCGGACCGTCCTCCTCTAGCTAGCTTCACTTGAACTGTTTCTCTCGATCCCGCTGCTCTCAAACTGCTCCTCTAGCTTCTTCCTCTTCAAACTGGTACGTAAGTTGGGGTCAGTCTACGCCCTTACGTTTTAAAAATCTAGTACTTCCAATCTTAAACACTTAACTTTGACTAGAGGGAGTTGTTTGTACTTCCAATCTTAAAATCTTAACTCTTAAACTTTGAGGGAGTTGAAGTTACTCTCCTCTCTTAAAGCTCAAATCTTGACTTAAATACTTGACTGACACGGGGATCCCTCACTAGCTAGTCCGGTTGTCAACTCATACGTATGAGAAGCCATCCAGGCTTTCCTTAAACTTAAACTTAGTTAGGGAAGTCGTAACAATTCATCCCCCTAACATCTTAAACTTATCGTGGTGGCTCTTCACCACGATTCTCAAGAGCATAACTGTTGCTCATCTTAAAAGTCTCAAGAGCATAACTGCTGCTCTATCTCAAAATCTCAAATGGCAACGGACTGGCGCTAGTGACTAAAAACACTTAAAACGACTTCACCTTCTTAAAGGTGAGTTTCTTAAAACAACAGGACTTGTTGTTAATTTTAACAATCACTCATAAATGTAAAGCTTTAACCATCTTATATAGACATTGCCTACACATTTCTCAATACAGGACTCGTGTGATTTCTCGTTTCAATTTGTATTCACCTTCAACCACACTGTGACAGTAAAGCTTCCATTATTCTCGCACTTATATGATATATCATCTAGATGTCATTAGTAATTTTGTTCTTAAACTGAGGTTGGTTTGCACTACTTTTCAATTGGAAAACGAAAGATCACCTTAAGAGTTCTGACCTTAACAGAGCTCTTGGTTATATATCTTTTTGTTGTCTGTTAATCTCACACTTCAACCACACTGTCTCGCTAAAGCTTCCATTATTCTCGCACTTATATCATGTAGATGTCATCAATACTTTGGTTCTTAAACTGAGGTTGGTTTGCACTACTTTTCAATTGGAAAACGAAAAAGATCACCTTAGCCTCTCTTGGTTGCATGCCTTTTCGCTGTCTGTTAATCTATTATTCTTCTTGTTGTGTGTATGGCAGGGAATGTATAGTTTCTTAATTTATGTCTTCAATGATAAAACTGCTCCTTGCAAGCTTTTGCTTTCCAATCCAATGATTGTTTTCATTTATTTAGGAATGGATGGAGGAGAATGGGGACACTTCCTTGCTAGAAGCATTATACCGCGCTCTAAATGAGGCAAGAAACATTTCTGATACATGGTGGATGATGCAGGTTGTAAATCTATCTGAGGGTGAAATCTACAGTTATGACTCAGACTCTGATGTAGACCCGTTTATGGAAAAGGGTGCAATGTTAGTATTTTTTGCATTACCTATACTTTTTCGAGTTATTACCTCTCAGAACATGATGCCTAACTTAGTAACTTGATTGTATATGTTGTATCCATCTGGTCTTTCAGCTTCTTCTTCTACAACAGGAAGCTAAAGCGGGTTATGAGCTTCTGTTTCTGCTGTGTAAGGTAAATTTCGTGAGTAGGCCTATCAGTTTCTTTGTGCACCATCTAGTTAGCTTTATGCTCTTTGTCTTCCATGTACTGTTGGTTTGTGCAGCAACTTGACAGTCATAGATAACTTAATTAACGGGGAAGATGGAGAAACATTTCATGATATGGACATGTGAACTTCTAGTTAGCTATGGATAATAGGCTTAGTCCTAAGATGCAAATACCCTTATGACATCCCGTCTCATCTGTAGTTCACCCGTTGATTTTTCCATGCTCATGCCACCACGTCGATAGGATCACTTTTTTCCTTATTTTACAAAAAATTTGTATGATGCGTACAAAGGCTGCTTTTTTATACAAAAATTAGGCGGTTGATTTGTTGTTGGTGGCAATTTAAATATGTGTATCCCAAATAAACAATAGCAAATCGAGCCCAATAAAAGGGTAGTACTGGGACTAGAACTATCTATGAGAGCTTGGTTATCTGTTCCGTAACCAAATGACTATTTACTATAAGTATGCTTTAGATTAGCTTACTTCACAATTGCCACACTTTGAAAGGGCGGTGTGGGAAATGTAGAGAAGGGTGATTCTCAGGGATTTTTCAACATTCGGAATGATTCACGTCAAGGGGAGGGATCTCCTTATTCTCATACTAGATTTTTCACGATCGTTTCTAATTAGAGGTAAATAAATCATTCATATCGTATTTGTCCCTTTTTATTTTTCACTCTCCTTCTATAGATTAATTTGATGACTACAATGTTTTTAAAAACCTTCTTGAAGATTTAGAATTCATGACATGAACTGAATTGATTGACCATATCTTTCAAGACTTATTTTATGTGTTAGGCTTTACGCATTTTTCTTCATTTGTCCAAATTATCTTTTAAACAATTAGTCAACATCGACATCTTAAGAAAACTAATGCATGTATGAAATTTTTTGTTTGGTTGATTTTGACATGTCATATTATGGATCTACTAACTTTCTACTACGACAAGTATGATTACTTTCGAAAAATTATGGATCAATGTTGATATAAAAGAAAAATTGTTATTATATTGTGATCAATAAATATTGATATTCACTTATGATTTTTTATTACGTTCCATCAATTAAAATTATATGGTTTAGGATTAGTAAATAGCAGTCCAACACCTAAATAACTAATTACTTTTTTGTTGTTGTTGATTATAATGGTTTTTGGCTCTATCAATTAAAATAAAACAATATACACAATGGGCTAAGTAACAAAAACAATAAAATCAACCTCCGACCGTGCCGGAGCTCAGCTATCACCGATCTAGTAGTAGTTGAAAGGAAAAACGTCGCCAATAAATCAAATTCCCAAATTCAATCTTTTTGTTTTTTATAACTAGCGTGGAATTTCATTAATTCAAAGAGTGGTTATTACAATCAACTCTGAGTTGGTTTAACCAAATTCATTCTTCTTATATACAACTCTGTTGGAAATTCTAAAATTGAAAGAAGTATTGGGGTTATCTATTGAGATACCTACCACAACTGAGAATGTGGATTTCTTCCCAGCACATGTTCCTAAAATAAATTTCCAAAATATACGTTTTATGAAAAATCCTAATCTAGACATATCTGGGCATCACCGCGGGAGACGAAAGCGGTGAATGGATTAGTGCGACGGACGAATACGATGAAGGTGCGGTGAAGGCTTCATTGCGGCCGCGAAACGCGATGAATGTCTGACCTAAAACTGAAATTTCAAACAAACTTTATGCTCCGTTATCCGATCGTAGAGAATTTTTTTTTATGCATAATTTATTTTGAGATCTTGCAAGCCGCGAACACCTTATGCGGTTTGGTCCCATTTTCGTCTCGAAAAAAGTCGTTTGCTACACCGAACAATAATTTTTTTCGATTTTGCCAAACATTGGACTACCATAACTTTGTGCTCCGCAACCGGAACATCATGGAAAAAAATTTGATTCCGCATAATTTTTTTGGGATTACAACTTTTACTAGAAATGAATTTTCAAAACAGAAATATTTTTGAATATACGGTGTTTTGAGAATAACTTTGCCTTTACTTATAAAAAAACTACACATTCTGAAATTATGGCTATGATAAAAGTTGTAGTCCCAAAAAAATTAGGGCTATTACCACTGAAAATACCATCCTTTAGCGAAAGTGCCATTAATATTACATCTTTTTCGATATGCCATTTGTATACTAAAATGTTTTCTCCGTTAGTTGGGCCATTAAACATAACTGTGCGACTTTTCAACGCTCAGTCAGCGCTTAAAAGGATCCTACGTGGCTCGGAAAGGTGGTTCATTTACTGAAATGAAAAAAATAAGGTAAAAATAAAAACGGGATCGGGCTCCCCAAACTCATTTCGTTCTCACATTTCCTCTTCGTCTCCCTCGACTGCGAAACAGAGAAGAACCCTAGCTTCCCATAGGGGAAAATTTTCCATAAATCGACGAGCTGGGCAGAATCAATCATCGTGCAAGTGGAGGCGAAGGCTTCGGATCGTCGCCGGGAGTGAGATCAGAGGAGTGGAGTGGTCGAATCGGCGTAGAGCTATATCTTCGAGTCCGCATCCGCCGTAAAAAACGCCCGATTCATCCTTGCCGCCATGGACATCTTCCCTGCCCGAGAAGATCTCCTGCTCAACTTCATCTGCTTCATCGTGACCTCCTTGACATTCGCCGTCGTCGCCGTCGACATCGCGCTCTCGCTCATGCTAAAGCTCACGCTCACGCTGCAACCTCCGACGCATCTTGCTCCGAGTTCTCCTCTTCCGCCACTAGTTTCTCCACCACCGAAGGTTGAATTTCCTTCTTCTCCTATACAACAATCGGCTCCTCCGGCTGCGGATTCACTGGATTCAGCTGCGATTGGGGAGGAGGAATGGCAAAGTAATGCTGCTATTGCGGCGACGGCAGCCTGTGGGAATGCTTGAGATTGGGGATTTCGGAGGAGAGGACTTCCTTGATGGTTTCCTCGCTGCAGGCTGGTGGCGGAGCTCTGGTTTCCGTGGTTGGCTTGAGAAACTTGGGCGGCTCGAAGTCGTAACGGTTGCCTTTTTTGAGGAAGGGTGAGAAGTAGAAACAATTGGAGAGGATTTGGTTGCACTGCTGAGACAACAACCCATTTGACGAAAAATTGGTCAGGTGATTCGCATTCGTTAGGGGAATTGCAGGTGGGAAGAAATGGTCGTTGATCAACGGTCGACCTTAGTTACGACCACTCTTCCACCCTTCAACTGACCTGCTTCGTCTTTCCTTCTGTGGCGCCTCAACAACAAACCGTCACTGACGTCTTCCAAAGCTCGAGCGCAAGAGTCGCCTTTCAAAACTCCACAGCCACGACCCCCTTCCTAAAGCTCCAGCGTCGCCGCCGTCCAAAGCTTTGTCGGCACAGTCGCCGTCGTCGTTGTTTGGAACGCAGGTAGCAGGAGAGCAGCTCCGTTCGTCCGTCGGGTTGGGAGAATAGAGGCCCGATGCTGTAAAAAAGATAGGGGGTGGGTGGGGTTGGAAGCATTTTTATTTTGTAATAGAATAATAAATAATTAACAAATAATATTTTTAAAATTTTTAAGCATTTTTTCAAATGTGGCATCCACTTGTCACCTACGTGGACACAAAGTGGGCCACCGTCAGGTCAACCGTCATTTCTAACGGTCAACAGAAATTTGTATAACACAAATGACGCAAACCCCTAATAGATTGGAATATTTTTGTGTTTATTGAAAGCAAAAAATATAAATGACACTTTTGCTAAAGGATGGTATTTCCAGTGGTATTACCCCAAAAAATTATGTGGAATAAAAAAATTGATGACCTTCGCGTTGCAGAGCACAAAGTTATGGTCGTCCAAAATTTGATGAAATCGAAAAGTTGCTCGTTAGGGGTAGCAAACGACGTTTTTTCGGGACGAAAAGCAGGACCAAACTGCCTATGGCGTCTGCGGCTAGCAAGATCTCAAAAGATTATACGAATCAATAAACATTTTGCTACGATGGATAAACAAGCGCAAAGTTGCGTTCGCCACTTTCTTCCGCCACAGTGATGCATTCACTGCTTTCCTCTGCCGCGGTGATGCCCAAACATGTGTAGATTGATTTTTTTCATAAAACGTGTTTATTGTTATGAAACTAATGTAATATAAACAACTACAAGAGAAGATTAGAGAGGGAAAGACACAAAGAAGATAGGGGGAAGTGAGCTTTCTTATTCATTCTTTCCTTTTGATACAATAATATGCTCTATTTATAGGCACACTTTGGTAACCACTACATCCTTATATCAATGCATATGAATGAGAGATAATAATGTAGGAATATGGGTTACATGTAACTCCCAAGTGAGCATCTAATGTGGTAATGTCAATGGTCATCCATATATCAATATTTACATAATACTCCCCCTTGGATGACCACTAGATTGCATTACGCTATCTCATACTGCCTCGTTAAAAACCTTACCAGGAAAACCCAATGGGAAAAAATCATGGTTAAGGGAAAAAGAGTGCAGTGCGTATATGCTCCCACTCATGACCACATCACTTCAGATTATTGAGTCGTTGAACTCAAATTTCACGAACAACTTTTAGAAAAATTGTTGTCGGGAGTGAGTTAGTGAACAATCTTCTAGATTATCAATTTGATGCATGATCTTTAGATTTTCTTCATACATGATCGTCAGGATCATTTCCTTTGGAAATAGTTCATAACCACAAGTCCATTAGATATGGTGAATCACAAAGTGTAACGAAATACATTCAGGACTTGCCTACTATAGTTTGTTTTGGATATCTATGAAACAATCACATCACCATATGTAAGAGATAGCTCGTCTCTGATCAACCAATATGAGGATCAAATAATATATAGGATTTGGATATATAGTTCACCAAATCTCTCTTTAATAGTATCATAATAGAACAATCGCATATATTGTTCCTGAAGGTAACAAAGTATTTCCAACGTTCCATTGAGAGAAACATTGTATTTTGCTAATATTATCAACACCAAA